CTATCTATCTATCTATCTATCTATCTATCTATCTATCTATCTATCTAGTATCTATCTGTCTATCATCTATCTAGTATCTATCTATCATCTATCTACTATCTATCTATTTCTATATATCTAGTATCTATCAACTATTTACTATATCTATCTATCTGCCTATCTATCTATCTAGTTATCTATCTACTATCTATCTATCTATCTAGCATCTATCTGTCTATCATCTATCTAGTATCTATCTAGCATCTATCTACTATCTATCCATTTCTATATCTCTAGTATCTATCTATCATCTATTTACTATCTCTATCTATCTATCTACCTATCTATCTATCTAGTTATCTATCTACTATCTATCTGTCTATCATCTATCTAGTATCTATCTATCATCTATCTATCTACTATCAATCTATCTATCTATCTAGTATCTATCTGTCTATCATCTATCTATCTATCCTACACTAAATTACTCAATGTAGTTTTTCAGATCAATAAATTAATTCCTCAGTCCTGCCATGGGAATGGCACAAAAGGGAAAATGCAGAACCAAGTCTCATATGTGGTTATTAATTCTACTCACTCATTTGGATTGGTACATACCAGGCCTGGCATATTTATCTCTTCTACTCAGTTATTACTGACATTGTAGTGGTTCCTTTCTCTCCTTCTGTCAACCTTGTCATTTATCTCAGCAGTTAAAACATCATAATAAGAGATGTAACAATTGCCTTAAGAGACAGGGAGAAAAGTGAATCATTAATGTCTACTTCCTGCTACAGCATGATCCAGAATTGCCTCTTTTCTTTTTCTTTTTCAAAACAGAGGCCTCTGTGTGTCTGAGCCTAGTAGATATATATGTGTATGTGTTTATGTGTGTGTTTGTACACACTGAGACATGTATTAACAAAATGAAACATCCCGTGTAGTATTGTTGCTGTAAGTGGGTAGAGGTTAGCAAATTCACCCGATCAACATTTTCAAAATAAGATTGCTTTATAAAAAGGCAAATAAAGTAGACTGGTCACCTCCAGCTCCAGCTGCTATGGAATGGCTAGCAATTTGGTGGTGTAGTGAGTAAATATTGACCAATTATCTGAGAACTGAGTTTGTGTCATTCGGTTCCCTGTTCTCTGACTGAAACACTGCTATTTAGTGTAGTAAAAAAAATAATACTGTCCTATTGTCTGCACAGGCAGGAAAACATCTTGGGCCAGCCCCCCAAATGTGAAGTAAATATTGGTCCTAGGATAGATCCAAAGCCAAATTATGACTTTTTGAATTATTGTTGTTGAATAACTCATAGTGAGTAGATATATACGTAGCATTTAGCCATGATGACGGGTTTACATACCACATTAAGCCATAGTAAGATTTGGGGGGGGGGGGGTGTTAATGTGGTATTTGCATGGAAGCAGTGAATAAAACAATTTATCTTTAGTAAATGGTAGTTTACTAAATCCAACAGTGGCTTACTGTAATTTGCTACAATACTCTGATTTCTCTTCAAGTCAAATACATCTTTTTCCTGTAATATGCTATAGAAATGTGTGATTTGTTGCTAAGTTCTTTCCTTATTCTGGCTTGATTTTGTGTCCTCAAGTTCCTGGACAACATACAAAGCACAGGGTGCCAGGTACAACAGCAGAGCTAAGGATCATCTAAACAAGTAATGATATTGTTAATAATCTGGAGGACTGATGATGATTGTTGAACAATTCATAGGAAAAACAACCAACTTCAAATAAAATAAAAATGGGGAGTGTGATGTAGAAGTTAGAGCATGGAATTAGAACAGGGAGATCTGAATTCAACCCTTATTCAACATCTGATCATAAATTTGGCCCAATTGTTGCTCTCCAAATTACTAGGGATATGATTGGAAGAGGGAAGAGATATAAACACTTCCTTGAATTCATGATAAAATAGGAAATACAAATGTAAAGAATAATTGATAGATGAAGTACAAGTAATCCTTAGCTTAGGACTACAATTGAGCCCAACATTTCCATTTGAGGTGAATTTTGCTCCATTTGATCGACTTTCTTGCCACAGTTGTTAAGTGAATCACAGCAATTGTTAAATTAGTAACATGGTGGTTAAGTGAATCTGGCTTCCCTGTTGACTTTGCTTGTTGGAAGGTTGCAAAAAGTGATCACAAGACCGCAAGAAACTATCATAAAAATGAACCAATTGCCAAGCATCCAAATTTTGATAATGTGACCATGGGGATGCTGTCATAAGCGTAAAAATGGTCATAAGTCACTTTTTTCAGTGCCATTATAGCTTCAAATGGTCACTAATTAAATGGTTGTAGGTCAAGAAGTATGTCTATCTGGGTAGTTGATGTTTGAGTACAATCCATGGGAAAATTTCTGGACTTTTAAAACTAAAATTACATTATAAGCATGGATATGCCCTTCTCTCTTTCTAATAGCATGTTATGAGTAAAATCTGAGCTACAGTGTTGTACAAAGGTTAGGATCTGTCTCCACCTGACGTGTGCAAGTTACACATTGGTTCTTTACAAGAAAACAAAATGGCCATTCCAAACTTAGAATGTTCACAGATGGCCAAATTTGACTCTACAGAGTTTTGAAATGAATGAAGTTGCAGAGAAGGCTTACCAGAAAGAACAAATCCTTCCATCTGCATTCACTCTCTGATATATTCATGAGAAACATATCATATAATGTCAATTCAATATTCATCTTAAGAACCATTCGGTAAAGAGAAATCAACATATTTTCTGTCCCACATTGGGGCAGCAAATTATTATAGTTTTACTAAAACAATTAATAAAGAGGATGATGCTTGTGGGATTTTCTCTCTGTGCAGCACAGTAACATGGGCAACCTTGGATGCTAGGTTGCTTGACTTGAATGATAAGAGTGCTCCATTTGCTATTCTGTCACAAACAACAGAAGGCCTTGAACTGACTCTATTGTCTGTTATTGCAAAGAGTATCCAGAGAGTTCAGCATGAAACAGAAAGGGATTGTCTTTAGAAAAAAAAACATAAAAAGGATGGACATTTGGAGGGAAATGCAAAATGTTTCTTCCCCTTAGCCTAAATGAGCGACATGGGAATTGATGTATAAATGTTGATGCTTTTCTAAATAATGTAATTCAAACATTTTAGGGACTAAATTGCAGATTGTTCATGAACTCACTGCAGTTTGTTTATCATGATGGAACTATGCCTGGTGGAAGAGGAGAAAATTGTACCCTTTATATATATATATATAAAGCAGCCAGTATCAACACTAGTCCTTGGACAGACTGAAATAATAGCAAAGCACCAAAGCAGTGAAGGCAGAACAAGAAGCAATGGATGGAAACTAATCAAGGAGAGAATCAACCTAGAACTAAGGAGAAATTTCCTAATAGAACAATCAATCAGTGTAATAACTTGCTGTCAGAAGTTGTGGGTGCTCCAACACTGGAGATTTTAAAGAAGAGATTGGAAAATCATTTGTCTGAAATGATATAAGCTTGTCTTCTTAATCAGGGGGTTGAACTAGAAGACCTCCAAGGCCCCTTCCAACTCTGCTATTCTATTATATTCTGTTAGTAGGCACTTCCATCCTGTCTCCTGCACTGCATGATGCTTGCCATTTTTAGACCAGAATCTCCTTACAAATTTGTCACAAGCTTCTTCTTTGGGAATTAAACGTTCTGTGACTAAATAGCTCTTCTTCCTTCTTCTCTACCTGCACCTTATCTCTTCACAAAAGGATTTCAAGCAGTGTGGAAGAATGTGATGTAAGGAA